TAAAGAAAATGTTTATTTATTTATTGATGAAGGGCCTCGGCCCGTTTCCTTCACGGGGCTCCCGACCCACTTGGCTGGCCTCTCTGCTCTTTTCTGACTGCCCTATACGTGGCTTGCCACGTGGCCATCCTTCTGCAACCCTCGAAACGAGGGGGGTAACAACAACCATCTTCTCTTCCTTCGTCTGTAGATTTGATAGTGCAATAAACTTAGTAGACATAGCCCTTAACGAACATTCCCTTTTTTGGCTTCGTCAGATTCTCCCTCACCTGTGTATTTCCCAAGCTGAGCAAGAGAGTTAGCCTTGGCCAGAAGAAGCAAAGCATCTTGAGCTGCCTTCACATTATCTGGACGTCCCGTCCATGTTAAGCACGTGTTTTGGAGTGCCCTTGCGTATGAGAACGTAACATGCCATGGTTTGGGAGCTTGGTTCATGAAATTCAAGTTCAGTGTTGCCTCCACTTCAGATTGCCCACCAGACAGGAACTGCCCAAAATTCAACAATTTTCATTATTTTACCCTTGGGTTGGGAAGTGGGGAGAGCAACTAGCGTGGCTCGACTCATCCCACTAGCGATCTGAGCAGCGAATCACTCGTCTGAGATCATATTGAATAAAAATGCAATTCCAATAAAAAATAAATGAATATATATGGCTGTGTCTGGGAACACTTTTTCAAACCAATTAAAATCATTTTTATAGCCGTTAACCGCAAACCGGAAACAATAATTGACTGCTACACTCACAGTTGGGGACCAGAAATTAATTGAAACGGTCCAATATTTACATTGCAACGGTTGGAATTACAATTAAAATTNAGCTAGGGCTCAGAAATTGACTGCAACGGTCCAATTTTTCCATTGCAACGGGTGTAATTACTATTAAAATTCCAACCAGACACACGCATAAATATTAGCAAAGGGCGAGCTTGTGGGAGGAAAAGAGCCAGACTTTGGTTGAGTGAACAGGCTCATGCTTGTCTCTTTTCCCAGGCGAGCGCGAGCTGGCTAGCCCCATTTAACATCTCTATTTTAGCCTATGCAATGTTATGAGTCATGTCGAGTACAACATACTATATTTATAGCATGTTTGGCAAATTAAACATACTTTTTATTAGCACATTTTGAGGAACCAAAACTATGTAGTATCAACACATTTCAATAGGATCAAAGCTAATAAACACTCAAAAGCACTACCAAACAAGCACTTACCATGATTCCAGGGACGGATGGGGGGATTCTCCTTTTGAGGAGGTTGAGAGTGTACTCGGCAAACTGCTCGGGAGTTGCCTTATCCTTGCATTCAGCTCCCTGGATAACCATGCTAGGCTTGAGGAGGATACCCTCAAACATGACATTGTTCTCAGCCAAGTAGAAGAAAACCTCAGCCCATACCTTTTGAGCAACCTCAAAAGTCCTATCAATCCCATGTTCTCCATCAAGCAAGATTTCTGGTTCCACAGTTGGAACTAATCCATTGTCCTGAGCACAAAATAGACATCAATTTTCAAGTAGACAACTTTTGATTTATCTAGCATGCTGATAAGCAGTACTTAACGAGACTATACAATTTTTGATAATGTCCAATCCTATTTAACCAATGTGCAATTTTAGTAAATTGACCGTTTTCAAAACAAATATAAGTACTTGAGAAATGGCAGCATATCAAGCCAGTCCCCAGGCAGCCTCCTTCACATCTAAGGCAGATGGACCGTTGGGAATGCTCACAACGGTACGCCTAAAAGATGAGAATTCAGCAGATATCAATAAATGTATACTACAGCTGATAGAGGATAAAAAATTGCACAAATTTTGATAAATTGTAAAACGAGAATTAGTACCCTTTGGCAAAACGAGCACCCGGACTATGGCACCAGGACTCATTATTTGAACCAGCAAGAGGAAACAAACCCTGCACAAACTCAACCAACATTTTTAAGAAGTTCAAAACTTCTTTATGCACGAATAAGTAAAACTTTTCAAGTTTAGCAAAACAAGTTCTAATTATATCCTCTTTCTAAAAGTTTAAGCTCTCTGATGAGTCAACAAAATGTATGTAGAATAATAGTTACCTTGTCGACTTTGATCGCAGGGACAATGCTTTGCTCGACTAGGACATCGACCATTTTCTTCCCCTGTGTTGTGGATTGGTAGAGAGTCTCCTCATATAGAATTGCACCTGAGATGTACCGGGAGCAGTCAAGAGGAGGATGCGGTAAACTTGACGGTTAGCCTTCGTGTTCTCAAACCCGATGGATGCCAAACGCTTTCCACACAAGTAGCATTGGATTCATCCATTGCCAGAATTCCACGCCCCAGCGATTAGTGATGCAACAGTTTTCTACATATCAAGACGACGTTTTTCAATTACTCATTTTGAACTTCAAAGTAACACAATTTTGTTTGTGAAGTTGTGGTGCCAAAACTAAGTCATTTAACTGTTGAAAATTTACTTAACATGCATAGCGGAAATAAAACAATTTT